AATACCCTTGGAGTCAGTCCCTTGTTCAAATTTAAATTTAATCTATATCAAAAGGGAAAAAATCAATGTGGGATGTGACCCCGAGGACCACGCTTTGAACAAAATGAAATAAACTTATTCAAGTACCCTGGGTAATGTAGTTTCAGAATATATGTGGTTATGGGGATCTATCTCCAAAAACCTAGGAGGAATTCAACTATATATATATATATATATATATATATATATATATATATATATATATATATATATATATATATAAAGTAATAAAAATATACATATATGGAGAGAGATTTAGAGAGGGAAATGGTCATGAAAAAAAAAATTCCGCAAAATCAAATTGAGTCACTATCGGTAACTGTGTGTGTTTATCTAAAAATAAACACGCTAAAATTCGCCTTCATCCCGACGGCTTAGTGGTAGAATCTCCGACTGACACAAACAGTCTGTCTGTGGATGACTTTATATTGGCTCCTGAAAAATTAATTTCAGTTGAGCTCTCTGGGGAGGAGGTATGGGTTTGTAAACAGTGACTACTATGGCTGATATAGCGAGACTCTTCGGCAAAATTCACCTTCATCCCTGCCGTGGTAGAATCTCCGACTGACACCAATTCAGTCGGGTTTCGATCCTAGCTAGAGGCAACCGGATGTCTAGCCACACTGAAGAGCTATGAAACAGCGAAACAGTCTGTCTGTGGATGACTTTATATTATATATATATATATATATATATATATATATATATATATATATATATATATATAAACAACTTCAGCCAATGAGTGAATTATTGATCTGCGACTACTGCTACAAAACCCATGCACAGTAAGCACCGGTTCAATACAAACAAACAATAACTGGGACCACAGTGACAAAACAACACAATAATTAACAGATACCAAATATCAGCCAAACAATGGACACCTGATGATAATCAAAGTATATTTTGTCGAAACGTTGCGTCTAGAATAACATCTGTATAAACCTAGACGAGAAAAATAGTTCGAAATATTGAAAGTATACTACCAAATTCATCTAGGATTTTTGGAAACAAGGACACATGATTCATTGCGAAACTCAAGCACAAGAGCGCTGCTAATGTTGCAATTGGCTACGACAGATGCGCCTGAACTGAAACACAAGATTTGCTGGTATTCGTCGTTGACCGGATACCCTTAAAAAAATAGACACCTTAAATTATTCATCTAACAATTTCGCCCCAGCAAACAGCCTCCGGCGTCTTAATCTCGGGGTTGAGGTGTCTACTCGGTCCTAACCGAACTTAAGGGAGTGGCTATAGGTCACCTGAGCATCCGTAGATTATTCGACCGGTCCGTTGGTTTAATCCTGCTTCCTGCCCACGTTGTGATTTGTTTGATCCAGAAAGTAGAAGTGATGTCCGTCCATTCACGGTCGACTGAAGATGTAGACATGGCTGGAGAGTCTGCACAAAAAAATTAAGAATGCAGCAAAAAAAAAATAATATCTTCAGAAAGTCGGACAAACATCGATTCAATGGTTGAATTGTTAATGTCTTTTACATAGCAGAAAAGAATAGTAGAGAAGAGAAACGGGTTACAGAAAAGGAAAGGGATAAAAAAAACTCATACACTTGATTCTAGACAGAGAGCGAGTGTGTATGTGATTATCTTGTTGTTAAATCGTCTCCGAACGATCTATGACTCTTGCAATGGAGGGATAAAGATTTCTGTGCAGCGCTTAAAGTTATAGTGGCGTTTCTTCTCCCAACGCTCGGCCGGGCCAATTGGCTCTTCTCTCTTCAAGAATGTTCTCCCGTTTTTGTTTTTTTTTGCATAACTACGTGTTTATATAGATAAACCCGGCACGCGATTATCACAGGGTTCTTCTGCTTCAACCAAAATCATGTGAATTCCAAAGTTCCTTCTAGCTTACACAGCTCTATTTCAATTTTTAATCGATAAAAATTATTTCGACCATTTCCATTGTCTACTGATGATCAGATTCAATGGGTACAACTTCTGCCCTAGATCAGATTTCCCCATCAGTAAACAAAATGCTCTGGTTTAATTTCGCTATTCAAATCTACTCCAATTTCCCTAAAAAAATATATGTGTGTGTTTCCCAGACTCTCTCTCTCTTTCTCTCTCTCTCTCACTCGTTCCCTCTCTCTCTCTCTCACACACACACACACACACACACACACACACATACACACACACACATATTCAAGCAATATCCAAAAGCAATCGGGAATCCTGAACTACTTAAGAACAACCCTCCTATAATGTTGGGAAATTTCTTCACATGAAGAGAAGACTGAGGACAATAGAAATACGATTCTGGTATACAGACGATAGAAAATGTGACACCGAAATCCGAAGATACACTGAAATAAGAATAAAGGCCATCCAAAAGCTAAGTAGCATATTAAGACAACGGAAAAAATATCATTAGAAACAAAGAAAAGAGCGTACGTAATGAAAATCCCCCGATATGGGAACAAATGCTGGACAATTTTTCACAGATGAAGACATGGCTTGAAAAATACCAATAATACCAGGTAAGCAATAAGGAAGTTTTGAAGAAAATTCAAACAAAAAAGACACTTATTCTTATTATGTATATAAGATATAAAATATCCAAAACACTACCTCCCTACAAGCACGCATTCTACCAAGATGGCTTCGTCATGGGATGGCTGCCTGAAGAAGCCATCTTGCTACAAGTCTTGGTTACAGAAACGCTAAATTTCGGATATTTTATCTTAACTTGCCCTACATTTACATTCATGAATATTGTATTGACAACTCTTTTAATTTACCCGTTCTTATGGCAAATATATTGTTTGCCAAAGATTGAATTATATATATATATATATATATATATATATATATATAGGTAATAATCCGTTGCTAAATAATCCAAGTGATTCCTATTAATACACTATAAAATATTAAAACTGATTTCCACATAGAGCTCAATGCTTTAATTAAACAGAGCAACATATTTTATACAATAGGAATTAAGATTACATGAGGTTTTGAAAAATCCTTTTAAATTTTATTTCAATTTACAAGCCGAAAATGATCATTAAACTAATATAATCTTAATTCCTATGGTATAATATATATTTATATATATTTTAATGTATATATATATATTTTCATATATATATATATTTATTATATATATATATACATTTTATATATATATATATATTATATATTTATTATATAATATACATATATTTATGTATATATATTGTATTTATTATATATTTATATATATATTAATATATATATTTTTTTCATATATATATATATATATATATATATATATATTATCCTATCATCAGGCAACTTTTGATGAAAATGATTTACTTTTTGAAAACAGAAAACAATACGTTTGCTTATTAAAGAGTTAAATAGGAGGGGGTAAACAGATTTTACAATCTTATGGGTATGTCTCTTTTGACTAATAAAAAGACAGGTCAAAGATGACGGAGATATATATATATATATACATATATATATATATATATATATATATATATATATATATATATATATATATATATATATATACGCATAAATAAATAACTATATATATATATATATATGCTATTTATTTATTTTAGGATACCATTGCGTCTCCTCAGGCGAATGTCCACAATCGCTGGGGAGGAAGAGTGGAATTGTAAACAGTGACTATTACGGCTAAAAATTCTCTCAGTCACTGTGTGTTTATCTAAAAATAATTCACCTTCATCCCTTCCGTGAGCCAAAGGGCTTAGTGGTAGAATCCCCGACTGACGTCAATTCAGTCGAGTCTCGATCCTAGCTTAGAGGCAATCGAACGTCCGGCCACACTGAAGAGCTGTGATATAGCGAAACAATCTGTCTGCGAATGACAATATATATATATATATATATATATATATATATATATATATATATATATATATATATATATATTAGTATTTCCACATCTATTTCTCAGATTTTCCTTCGTGTATTCTGACTTATTTTCGCAACTCGCCTTAGCTTTTTTCATTTTTCACGGAAATGTCATTAAATAAATTATTCAGGATCTCTTCAATATTCTTCAGTCTTTTGCTTACTGGATGACACAGAAACTCTAGCCTGCGTCTTAGTAAACACATCTTAGTAAAGGTCTAAGTTGCTTACCGGAGATTTACAAGGTAGCCTTGCGAGTAATTACTGCAAAAATTCAGTTCTTACCAGTTGTTTTACTAATGCCTATGAGCAAATGGAGCTTTATCTGAGTCTATACCACTTGCAATAAGTAAAAAAAGGAAAATATGACTACATTTATGATTAAATGGAGCATTTCTTTTTCCAAACCGTCATTTGTCTGCAAGTGATGTCTAAAAAAAGAAAGAAAGAATGATCTTCGTGTAAATTCTCATTAAGTCGACCGTTTCCTCTTGAGATTTTTTATGATGGATTATGTAAGAGAAACTAAAAACGGCTTTTTTTATCTTCTTCAATGCCTAATGATTGTCAGTTGTCCCAAGAAAAAAGACCAGAGTAAAAAGGATTTTTCCAGATGAGATTTTGATGAACTTTGTGGAAATCTTGCCAAAATATTTATTATTCGGCGAATTCAAATGTTTCCGCTATTCTTGATGACAAAACCTTATATGCATACAAATGCGTAGCTTAATGCAACACCGTGAGCTGAACACGCATTGGACTAGCGTAAGAGGTATTCCAAAAGCTCATCTTGGTGCTGAGAAACAAAAAATAATTAGTTAGATACAAAGAAATGTGTGCTGGATTTTTATGTGGTATCCATCCGCTTATATGGCAGTGAATGTTGAACAATTTCACTAAGGATGAGGTAAAAACTGGAAGCTGTTTAAATGTGGATCTACAGAAGGATACTGAGAATAGAAGGTAGAGGAAAGCAGCGAACCAAGAAGATTTACTTGACAATTTAGATATGTTCGACTTTCTCAGGGACGCCTATATCACTTACAGCTCTCTCACGTTGAAATACCTTCCCGTACGATCACAGAAGTTAAGCAACGTCAAGTCTGATCAGTACTTTGATGGGTGACCGTTTAGGAATACCGTGTTCTCTACGCTTGGACATGCGGGTGGTGTAATGTATAATGGCTCGAAATTGTTAATCCGTGTTCCAATTTCCGTTGGGTTCGTTATTTTCACTTTCAAAATTTCGCAAATACCCTTGGCAAAGACATGAATCTAACTATTCTTCCACTACTTATGAGTTAATTAGTATTACTTGTATCAGTAAATTATTATATTTCTTTTGCTCAAAAATCTTACAATCAAAAAACATTTTCTGGCTTTAAATAACCTGTAAATAGTTGATAAGCCGTAGAAAATGAATCAATAAAATAATCAAAAGGAACAGTTTTCGAATTCCTGCAAGTTTCAGATATCGAATGCTGAGTTTCAAGGCGTGCATGCTGTGTCTGTTTGAGAGAACGAGGAAACGCGGTACATGTGCATCACTTACTTACATTATTTACATTATTTTCGGGCTGTTATCCTCATCTTCATTGCCATGTTAACAACGTTTCGACCGTTGTACTCTCCGGCCTTCTTCAGGTGATTGGAATTTCGGACCGAACCGTTTATTTTTCCCACCAGGGGGGAACGTTGTGTATATAGCAGTGAAGATGAGGATAACAGTCCGAATAATGTAAGTAATGTAATCATAATACCTCATCTCAGAGATATAGACAGATATATAGACAGACATAGACTTAAAGGCCGGAGCGTACAACGGCCGAAACGTTGTGAATATGGCAATAAAGATAAGCATAACAGTCCGAATAATGTAAATAATGCAAGTAGACATAATACCTCATCTCAGAGATATAGACAGATTTGCATTTATATCTGATAAATGTGTCTGGTGAGCGAGATTGATTTTATGATGCATCAACGATTGTAGTGTTATTTAATGTCGAAATCATTTTTTTTAACTAGATTTTATTCTCTAAGCATTTACTTGGCTTGGAGACGGATAAATATTTGTCTTTTATCTTTGAATCGATAAACTTTTACTTGATCCGGGAATAGGTAAATGTTGATAGTTTATATTTAAATCTATAAGCATTTACTTATTTCGAGGATAGGGAAATATTGTTCGCTATTTACATTATTCAGACTAATTTTTTTATCTTTGTTGCCATTTTTATCACGACTTTTCGGCCGTTGTACGCTGAGGCCTTCTTCAGGTGGTTGGAATGTCGAACTAAACCCTTTATTTCGCTCGCTTGGCTAGACTGTTCTACTTCCACGTGCCATGTTTAATGGACGTCAGTTATCTCCTGTTAATTCCCCTCTTCAAGTTCTCCACTGCCTTAACCGGGTATTGAACTCACACTTTCACTGGATCTAACCAACGCCTTTATCCACTGCGCCATGTGTCCTTAAGGACACACAACCACCTGAGTGTACAACGGCCAAAACGTTATAATAAATATGGCGACAAAGATGAGGACAATAATCCGAATAATGCAAATAATGTACATAATACCTCATCTCAGAAATATAGACAGATACTGAAAGGCCGAAACGTTATAATAAATATGGCAACAAAGATGGGATTAATAGTCAGAATAATGTAAATAGTGTACATAATACTTCATCTCAGAAATATAGACAGATACTGAAAGGTCGAAACGTTGTAATAAATATGGCCACAAAGATGAGGTCAATAGTCCGAATAATATAAATAGTGTGCATAATAACTCATCTCAGAAATATAAATAGATATTGAAAGAAATATTGGTCATTTCTATTTCAGTCTGTAAGTGTTTACTGGTTTCAGCGATAAATATAATATAATAGCCTATACTTGGGACTTTGTTTAGTCTAAGAATAAGGAAATATTGTTCAATTATATTTGAGTCAGGTGCATTTAATTGGATGATAGTTGGAAATCTTCGTAGTTTATATTTGAGATGATAAGCATTTACATGATTCGGAATTAGGTAAATATGAGTTGTTTATATTTTAATCTATATTCATTTCCTTGGTTTGTGGATATGTATATAATTTTCTGTCTCTATTTCCTTGGTAGGTGGCCATTTTACGGCGGGTGTGTCTCGTCCATCTGCATGGGATATAATCGGCATATTCCAGTCCCCGCAGACAGAGTGATCTGATAACAGGTATGATATGGCCTGGGTAAAAATCTTTGACTCCACCTAAACGATAAGTCATCTAGCTTCACCAATAAAGGTTTTATAGATAGGAAATCAATCTGCCTGTGTGTGTCTTATGGAAAGCAACTGATTACACCAATCTGTTCTTTCGTCCAAATGTTACTTCCACTTATCGGGAAATGCTAGAATTACGCACCAAAAGACGAGATACGCTTGTAAATGAAACAGAGCTGATTAAAACTGGCTTAAAATAGAGGAACAATACCGAAACTCTTTCTGTCATTCTATTTACATCTTTTTTTCTTTTACATATTTTTTGTCTTTGATCATTTTCAGTTTCTCTAACTCCATCCATATGCACGATTCTACGCTTTTGTTTCTGACTACATATTATTATATCTACTAGTTGACTACAACTACACTTTCGAAAAACAACTTTTATTTCTGACTGCATACAATTATATATTAACCAGTTGACGAACAATACGCTTTCAAAAGAAAATCTTTTGTTCCAGACTGCATATATATATATATATATATATATATATATATATATATATATATATATATATATATATATATATATATATATTAGTGACTAACCGTACACTTCAGTGTTAAAATTTGTTCCTGATGGCATATTATGGCATATTATTATATAGATACTCGTTAACTAAATCTTCACTTATATATATATATATATATATATATATATATATATATATATATATATATATATATATATATTACAATAAATATGCAATCAATTTACAAATACATGAATTATTCACAAAACTAATGCAAAGGTTAATGATTTTTAAATGGCAGACATCCATCTCGCAAACAATTCAAATTTTTTTCTCTTAGAAATAAACCTGAAGATGATGTGTTATGAACAGACGAATCCTTGTTAAAATAAATTTCTAATACGGCAGAAATTTATATGAACTTTCGTCAATTCATTCATAACATCTTCAGGTTATAATAGATGTTATTTCTTGTTTTTTTCTTAGATGGATGTCTCGCCATTTAAAATCATTAACCTTTTGCATTAGTTTTGTGTGAATAATTATATATATATATATATATATATATATATATATATATATATATATATATAATTATTTATTCGAAACTTATAACATATCAAGTGATGGTGCTGAATGTAGAATAAACCCTTTATTCTACATTCAACACCATCACTTGATATGACACCAGAATTATTGAAACAAAATGGCTATTTTTGTAGTGATTTTATAACATATTTGTTATAAGTTTCGAATAAATAATTATAGTTGCTCTACTTTGTATTGAGCACTTTTTAAGAATAGTATTTGTTGTTTATTGGAATTTATTCCGTATACACCAATCCTATACTTGGGTATATATATATATATATATATATATATATATATATATACATGACCGCCATGAGAAAACAAATTTTATTTTTATTACCATTCATGATGATAATAGATAAAAATTAAAACTGAAAAACGGGCTAGCTAAGCGGTTTCGAACCTCACTCAACAGAGCTAATTCGAGGTTAATAAATTAAATAGAATTATCACTGATAAGAGATGGACAATATGTATTGGGTGGGGGGAAAAATATACACACACACATATATATATATATATATATATATATATATATATATATATATATATATATATATAATGAAATGGATTAATCCGACAATTATTTTAATATATTTTCCGTTTATTTTATGGTTATAATTTATTAAAGTAAATGCTCTCCTCTTTTTAATTAAACAGTATTAATTACATTTATTTGCCTGAATGTCCGAGAAATTATGAGCCGTTAACCATTCAGTCACAGAGAAGCCTCTGATTAGGAAAGTTCGAATTTCTGTTTATAAACATACACCTACGACGATGTTTCTCAATCGATTATATCTGATCATGAAATATACCTTTACGTAAAGAATGACAACATATTATGAAATGGATTAAGTCCGCAATTATTTTAATATATTTTCCTAAAAATGTTTTTTTCTGGTTGAGAGGTAAGAAAACAAACATATTTGGTCAGACAAAGGGAAAGAGAGGAGGATGTCTTATTATATCCCCCTGTATCTTTTCTTGATGTCTTTCTTTCTCTGTTCTTGTCTATAGTGTGTATACGTATGTGAGATGTTTTACCAGTATGTGTATATATTTTTTTTTCTCCACACATATATATTGCATTATTCCAAGGAAACATTTTTATGCATTTGGAGGTGTTTGGTATATTGGCATAATTTTAATATTACCTTTGTTGCATTTGTGGATGTGTTGTGACACAAAGTGTTTTCTGTTATCTAGTAATTTAATTTTGCTTTTGTGCAGGGAGACTCTTTGTTCAGTTCTTGATTGATACCTATAAAGATTTGTTGCATTTTGGGCGTTTGTGTGCATAAATTACAGTTTTGGCGTTATACTTTTTACAGTTTTTCTTTACTGTGAATGTTTTTGTAAGGTTTTCAAAGGTATAGGAGTTTTGCTCTATAATTATATCACAAACCCCACATCTTTTCTTGTTGCATTTTGTGACCCTTTGTGTGTTGACTAAATTTGGATGAGGCTCTCTGAGTGGTGTTTGCTTTTAATTATTTTGGTTGTTTTTAGTATAGCTTTTATTTTAGTAATATTATTATGTTTCTTGTTATTTCTGGATTGTTCTTGTATTTTGAGACATTTGGAATTTGTTCGGTGTTGCGTTTCTTTCGGTTCCGTAATTGGTTTAAAGATATTTTTCTGTTCGTTCGAATCTCTTGTTTATTCGTGGTGGGGCTTATGATTTGTTTAGTGCTGGTTTAAATTTGTCTATGTATCCTCGCTTTTTGAGAGTTTTATATAATTCTTCTAGGTGGGTTATTCGGAGCTGTTTGTCGGCCACTATAATGCAACTTCTACGTGCCAGGGAATAG